ATCCGTTTTAAAAAATTATTAGCAACAGTTTTCTAACAGCGTTCACCATAACCAATAGAAAGAAATTATAATATATTCCATTATAACAGCTAAAATGAGTAAATCACTGGGGTAGAAACTGAGCATAGTCTAAGAATTACTGATCATGATCAGATTACATAGCCAGATAGCAATTACTACATTTATGTAAATATTCAAGGCACATAGATGCTCATATTCCTGAGTTTTCAAAATTTCAGAAGCTAAAAAGTGTTATGGACAAAATGAATCAGGAAGAAAAATCTTAGATAGAAAAACATGAAAATGGAAACTTCCTTAAGAGTGCTTTTATCTTTGGTCAGGCAATTCTACAGCTAACAAAAGGGACAATTTTGACTACAGCTCATCCTAGTTGCTTAAAATCTGATGTTTTTTAAAAAAAAGTGTAAGTTAAAAAAAATAAAGGTGGGATCAACAAGGTAGAACAGGGAAGGCTGGATCAGCATCAACATAAATTACAGTTACGGAGTGTAGAATCTGAGAGACATAAAACATCTACCTATGACACCACCAAGAGTGGTATCAACCACTCAACAACAGCAGAGGCTCATGACTTGACAAGAGGTGGCACAAGTGTTAAAAATCGTACGGAAAGATCAAAAATAGGCAATAAATACTTTCATTCTATAGTTGGAAAGATTCAAAATGGTATAATCGTATCACATTATATTGATTTTCTTTCCAACTCATTTGTTAAGCAGATGTTCCAGATCAGATGTTAAAAAACATTGTGAGACAGACATTTTAAATCATCATACTAGTTAAACTTATCCCATAGTCCTAGAGTAGTCAGCCCAGCAAACCTATGATCTGTTGATGTTCTTTTAAAACTACGTATTTTAAAAATCTGTATCTGTCTTTAAATGCTAGGGACTGCCACCACGCAGAAGAGTGAAAACACAGTGTCAAAGGGACAAATTAAGTTTTAAGGCAGTCTGATATGATAGAGAATTCAGATGAGATAACAAGAACCAGCAAAAGACAGATGCATTCAAATGTATTCAAACAGTAATTGCATGCCTTATTTTTAAATAGTGGCAAAGATGAATCACTGAAACAAGTCATCCAGAAAAGTAAATGGTAGATTCTCACTATCTTGATACACTTTAAAAAAAAACAAAACAGCTTAGCCAACTAGAAGTTCAGAAATCAAACCCACTGAGACAAAAACTGACACTGTAGTACATTTAAGGTGAAACGTTCATGTATTAAGATAGATGCAGTACTAAATGCAAGTCACTTAAAGCAAGCACATGAACTTTTCACATGCACAACTAGATTAATTAGTAGTGCAGTAGTAATGGTCTTTAATAAACCTAAAATAATGATTTGCCAGCCCATTAACACAACAAAAAACCTCTCAAACTAAATAGCACAGAAAAAAAATGTTGGCATTTTTTAAACAGAACACCATGATACTGTCTTATTTCTGCTACATTTGGTTCAGTATCAGTGACATGTGAGTCCTCCCAGTATTTTCAAACGATTTTCAAACAGACTTCAGGTCATGTTATGACTTAATGTTTTTGGAAAATCTACATCTAACCATTAACAGAGGTAAAATACCCATTTGTATTCTGTTTGGTAATTCATCAACCTTTATCCAAAATAAACGCTAAATGTTGAATGTTCATGTCCAAGGTCTGGATGTAGTTTGACTAACTGCTCCAGCTTGCCTCTTGCTTGTTTCAACTGTCAGAGTACAAACGGTCAACCATTTCTCCTCAAAGACTGTCACACATGGATTCCCATAAGATTTAGAGAAACCGTGCTTCTTTCTATTTAACATCACTAAAAAGAGTAGAAATTATCAGATTATAATGGGCGGACATCAAACTGCATCATTTTCAAGTTCTTTTTGTAAAAGTAGCTGATCGCAGAAGTTGCAACATCAGAAAAATAAAGACATTCGGGTAAGCAACAAAAACATTCTTAAGCAAAACACGGACCACAATAACAACCTTCCTAAAATTGGAAATGGTAGCAGCTATGCCCCTTCTTTTGGAGGTCAAAACCACCGTTCAAGCCTCACTAACCTAATAACCAAACACAGGCAAGCAATTCCTTCGATCACATTTATCCTCCTCCTCTGAAAGCATAACTCAGCCAAAGAGCTGTATGTTTACAGACTACAGACTGAACTGTTTTGGGCTTTCTTGGTCTGAAAGAAAAAGCACACAAAACCTATAGCTTATTTACTACAGAGCACTGCAGAGTCTAAGTCAAACAGTTTAGATAACATACCACATTTGCACTCAGCAGACATCACTGGCTCCTGATCTAAAATGCTCTTACACACGCTAATCAACAAAGCCTCAAATGGACTAGCAACTGATTATCTTAGAAACTGTCTATCCTCCACAATTCTCAGCAACAGCTGTTGTCAATTACAGCAGCATACCTAACAGTTTAAGATAAAACTCCTCAGGATGGAGCGCAAAGTAAACTTTCTAAGGCTTCGTCAACAGAATTCCTTTCAAGGCCAAGTGTAAACTGGTTCTTCGCACAGCCCTTCCCCAGTGAAAAATGAAGTTGTAATAGCAACAACAACCCGGAGACAGCAAAGATGATCTCTACATTAGCGCAAATCATAGGCAGGCAGAGAATGTGTAACACATTTCCACCACATCACATTTCTCTTGCGCATCAAGGTACATATGAGGTACCAGAGTCTAAAAGACGCAAGTGCAAACGAAAGAGAAAAGAACATTCAAGTAAAGCCAACACGGTTATGCAAAGAAGGAAAAATGTGAGAGGAATGTTCTCACATTTCTCAAAGGTAAGTACCCTTCTCACAGGTGGCACAGTACTTTCAGAAAACCTCTAAACCATTTCTGTGTGACAAGTGAGCTTTGCTAATACTGCAGCTAAAACACAGAAATTGTTTGTAAAAAATCAAGTTTGTGGGTTTCCTTGGATTTATGAGAAGGTGAAACGAAGCAAAACATACAAGAATCTCATAATTTTAATTAATTGTTGAACAAAGCTACCAGTACAAGCCTTGTTTAGTTGCCTTCCCATCCACAAAGCTAGAGAACAGACTCTTGTTTTCATCTCATTAATAAAAGGATGCCATCAATATCTTTTGATATGTTTGGTTTTCACAGGAGTTTACCATATCTGTAGTACCTAAATATAAAACCATTATAAAATCTAGAGGGGAAAAAAAATGCACCATCTTCCCAGCAGGCAGTTACATATAAACGTAGCAATTCCTTGTGGTCTCATATTTTGCTATGCATTGAAATTCACTATATAGCTTCACAGCACATACAAGAGTAAGCTCCTGTTGTTGGCTCAATAGCAGAGTTACCAATTCCAAGTCAGAAAATACACAAAAATGTTTAGAAATTCACCAGCTTATTTAGAGTAGGCTGTGCACGTGTTTACCTGCCAGTCTGAAGCTATTACAACACAACATTAATTGTAATAACTTTAGCAATCGCTATTTATATACATACATATGACTCTTAAGAGTTACAGCATTTAGGCCAAACACGGGCCATGTGTCAGTGAAAAAAATAAAAGTCTGACAACTGGTAATCACAACTGTGTTAACTCAGTTATTACATTAACAAAAACTTAAAAAAATATCCTGGTTTCAAAAATAGAAATCATTATTCCCCACAATTAATGTAATTTTCTTATTGCACCGTTTTATATATTACAGTGTACTATTTCAACCTCTGAGTTGCAAATACAACAGTGGATGATGATTTAGAGAGAGGTGGGATCTAGAACTAATTTAACGGAATGTTGCATGAACCTCAAATTCTTAAAAATCTTTTCAATAACAACAATTGACCCACATAACTGGAATATATTTTGAAATCTTCAGTTTTCACAGAGGAAGTATTATCAGTAAATAGCTGAATTAACGTGTGACAAGTAATAGAACTGACAAATAAGAACTTTAATGAAGTTTCATTGGTCTGACAAGAGACTTATCTTACGTGGTGCTTTTTAAACAAGTTTCAGAGTGCTTTGTAAGGGAAGGTAAGCAAGATTACTGAGAGTAAAGTGGAGAATGGATGCTGTGGAGCTGAATGGCATAACTACAAATGTATCCTTGTCTCCCATTACATTTTGGAACACAATTCTTTCACATGTATACCTCTTCCACATGTATATACCACCAAAGTAATGCTATGCCAATAGGATGGGATTGTCTCTTAAAAGCAGACCATAAAGCTTCCAGGATGTGTAATATTATAGGACATGTAGCTAAACTAAACTACTGATGAGTATGGTATAGCATATAAAATTTTCAAACAGCTAAAATATACTAATTGCAGCCCTTGCACTAAAATGCAAACTTGTACACCACTTGAACTCCTGTATCCTGAAGAAAAACGTGTGATGGTTAAACATCTACCACTGATGGCAATGAACTGGACAGCTAGCACAAACTGAGTCAGGCAGGTGAGAACAGGGAGGAAGAGAGGCTCTGGGGCAAGAACACTGGAGTGAAACCAAGCTGCTCCTAAAAACTCTTTTCAAGACCTGGAGGAAAAAAAAAAAAACCAACATGAACAGCTTCAACTTCCGTCTCCTGCCGCCGGAATCACCAACAACAATTAAAAAAAAAAAAGAAAAAAAAAAAACAACCCAGAGGGGAAAACCTTGTGACAAATCTGCTTCCTCCTCCCTCCCTGCTCTCACCTCCCAGCAGCGAGGCTCTGGCTCCACAGCTCCCCGCCGGGAGCACCTGCCCTGGGCATGCCCCGGGCCGCCGCAGCAGCGGCGGGAGCCCCGCGGGGGGCGGGCGGGACAGGCCGGGGAGCGGCGGAGCGCGGGGCGCGCAGGCCTCGGCGCCCCCCCGGCCCCGCCGCCGCCACGCACGGCCGAGGACAGGGCCCGGCGGGGCCCGGGGCGAGGGGCGGCGCACTGTGGCTGCGGGGCGGCCGGCGGGAAGGGGGCAAGCGGGTGAAGGGGAGCAGATGCTCTGGGGCTGGTTTTACCTGCTGCTGCTGCTGCCTGCAGTGGCATGAAGATCTGGCTCAGCCTTTCTCTCTCCCTCCCCGCCTCCCTCCTTCCTTCCCTCCCTCCCTGCGCCGCGGCGCACAGACCCCCGCGCCGGCCCGGCGCCCTGCGAGGGACGCGGGGCAGGGGGAGGCGGTGGGGGAGGCCCGGGGCAGGGAAGGGAAGGGGAAGGGCTCCCTGCCCGCCCGCGGGGACGCGCCGTGGCGCCGCCCCGCTCCCGCCGCGCAGGCGCTCGGGCCCGGCGCCTGCTCTGTGCTCCTGCTGCCTCATCCCGGTTCCATGTGCCCGCTCCCGGCTCCTTTTGCCGGCTCCCTGTGTCCGCTCCGTGCTCCCGGCTCCCTGTGCCCACTCTGTGCGCCCTGTGCTCGCTCCCGGCTCCCTGTCCCCGCTCCCTGCGACCGCCGGACTGCGGGGCGCCCGGGGTGCCGGTGGAAGGGGAAGGGCGAGGATGGGGCTCCCCTGGTAGCGGGAGGTGGCGCGGCTCGGCCGGCGGCCGCTTCCCGCCACCCCCGGCGGGCAGCAGCAGAAGGGCGCCGGGTGTTTTTTTGAGATCGGGAGGGTCTGCGTCTCTTCGGGACCTTTCGGCCTCTTGAGGAAGCCCGAAGCGCTTATTTTTACATAAAGCGTGCGCAGAGTGTAGTTGCCAGTCACGCAATGCGGGGTGGGGGGGGTGGGGGGGTGGGGGGGAAAGAGGGTTAAAATGGAGGTGATTTAAAGTGAATCCGTAACATCGGATTCGGCTGGCTGTGTTCAGACCGCTTGGGACACGTCCTCGTGGAAGGAGTGAAGTGCCCGGCTGGAGGCCTTGGCAGCCCGAGGTGGTGCTGCGCGCCCGGGGTCACTCGTCTGCCTCAGCACTGCGGTCCTTAAACCCCCTGAGCACACTTGTACAGCCCGGTAGCAGCTCACTGGGACAAACACTTAGTTCCCAGGGCAGGCTTGGATCGCTGGCAGGCGATTGAGATCAGTTTAATCAAAAGATCACTTCTTTAAGTTTTGGGAAATCCAGTAAGCCTGCCGTTTGCTTGGCTTTGCCCCTTACTGCGTTAAAAATCCTGAAGGAATGTGAACAGAGGACCACCTAGTATTGAAGAGTTCATTTTACTTGCAAAAAAACCTGCAGGGGATATATTTATGCCACAGTCCGAGGGTGCTGCGAAGTGCCTTGTATACTAGGTTGCTCTTTGTGACCATTGTACGGTTTCTAATTATGTGTGATGGTGCATTAGGTATCCAACCTTTTGGGGCTCTGGTACAAGACTAGACATACTCCATCATCCATGTTAGCTGAAGCAGAATAACTATTTGAACCTGAGTCTTGGAAAAATGACCCTAAAACTGGTTCGTTTGGCTATTAGATTATGCTTCAGGGCAACATAGGAGAAAAGATGATCAATGTGAGATATACTTAGAAATGTGAAACGAAAGTAAAACTTTGTAAGTGTAGTAATAATTACATGATGAATGAATGGTATGTAGTCTCTGAAGACATTTCTTATAATTCCCCTGATTCCCCGAAAGGAAATTTTTGCTTTTTGGGCAATTTCAGGGCAAGATAATCAGCCTATCTATGTGGTTTTCCCAAAGATACTTAGAGAGGAAGTCTTAACTCCATGTCAGTCTACAGATGTTTTTGATTCCCAGATGTTTGATTAAAAAAGAGAGACCAAAGTAGGTTCCGGCCTGCTGATGATAGTGTTTTACAGCAATGCATTTACATTTCTCGCTACATCAGATTGTTTAAAGTAGAAAGAGCCATTTAAAGTTAAATTGTTGCTAGATTTAAAATTAAAATGCTCAGTACAGAAAACAAATGAAGACTCCTTTCATGACCATATATCCATTATTTTCAAACACATAGTTTCATTTTCTGTTTGCAATAATGATTTTCTGTTTGTCTCTCCTTACATTTATTGTGTTAGAGTAGATGTTAAAAAAAGCCAAGCAGTCAAGCATACATTTCTTGTCTACTAATATCATGTTTTGAATACTTTGAACAGCTCAGAGATGAAATTATGATTTTGTTTGATAGAGGGCACAACATTTGAATTAGAAATAATACAGCCATCTACAGTCAGTCTGTGTATATCACAGTGACCCGTCCACTGTAAAGACATGGAAATGCCTATTTTATGCTTTTGGAATAGAGTGCATTTTAGATAAGAAGATATGCAAAAGTAGCGTGTACTTGGGAGATGAAATGGCAATGTGAAGAATTACAGCACATTATATGTTGAAGATGTGTGTGTATAGGTGGGACTCACTAAGTAAAAATTGTATTGAAGGTATCAAAACCTTTTCTTTATAAGCCTGTAGATTTGTGCTACTGTTTAAAAAAAAAGAAGTATGCACCTGCCTTTGGCAGATACTCCCACTGTGTACGCAACTCAGGCAATTGCGAGTTGTCTAAATAACTACTGGAGTAATTATATGAGCATAGGATATCTAATTGTGTGTGCACTTAGGGGATGTCTTAAAAGATTTGGCCCTCTCAGTATTCTCAATATGAAAATTTTCCCATGGAAAATAAAAGCTGGAACAAAAGCCAGCAGGAAAAACAACGGCAGAATCTGCCAAAAGTAGTTTATTCTTGTTTCATTGGCAATCAATTGTTAGGCTCATCATAACACTTAGATGCCAATTTAAGCATGAATGGAGGTTCCACCCCAAAATTAAAACATTGTAAGGAGATTAATCCCTTTTACTTATGCACCAATAAAGAGAAAAATAAATTCCAAGTATTATTAGTTTCTGTATTTGCAAGATTATGGGGGGTTAATATCAAACTGCTTAGACCGTCTCAGTTTATGCTCACAATATATTCTACTGTTGAGTCACAAGTAAAGGTGTGTAAGCTTTGTATAGATGAAGAAAATAATGTTTCTTGTGTTAGATGTTGACTGAAATATTCTTAGGGCTAGAAATATTTTTAAAATTTTAGTTAGTTGAGTATTGCAATTGTGAAAAATCTTGGCTTATATTTAGTTACATTATTAGTAGCATTGTTCATTTCAATGGTCTAGTCTGTAATGTAGCTCAGTTTTATAAAAGTTCTTAACATCTCACACATGTAGGTGGTATCCATAGCAAAAAACGCATATGTTGCTTGCTAGCATTCTAGTTTCCAGTCCTTGGGAGGGGAGGGGGATATCCAGTTTGGTTATCAGCTGTGGAGTAAAGCATATTACATGCATATGAACTAATGATCAGGATTTCATATATTGAATAAAATATAAAGCAAAAAATCTTGACTTTTTGGCTCAGTTAACTCATGCATACAAACAGAATATAAAAACTCCCACAGATTTTTAATATATATTAATGTGAATTATATACAAAGCATTTTATTGAGTGCATATACTTGCATGATTGTGTGCATATACAAATATATTTATAGAAATATATATACACACCTTAGTTGTATTTCAGGTTGTGATAGTTGTATTTCAGGTTGTGATAGTATCTTGTTTGGATTTCATATGTGATCTGTTATCCAGGAAATTTTGGAATATTAGGAATCTTAAAAAAATCTCAGGGAAGTTTTTATGACTACAGCTTCTCCCATAAGTTAAATGAAACTACATTTCTCTATCAGCTGAATTCCCATAGAGAAACTGAGAAGTACTTGTGGAGTACTTTTGTCATTTCTAGACCCTATAATGAGATGTATTCTATATACACCCATTAAGAACAAAGTTATATTGATTTTAAACTTAAGGAATTTTCTTCTAGTAGGGTCTACTTGACACCATTATAGTCACTTAATTACTCTCAAGTTCTGTGTTTGTACATTATTTAAAAATATTTACCAATCATAAGAAAAAAAAATAATTACAAGTTTTGTTCTGTCATTTTCATTCTCCACCTAAGCCTTCCTGTGCAAAAGAAGTTAAAAAAACCCCACTTTGCTTCTGAATTATAATACAATTTGGCCGCAGACACTTATACCATAACTTAACTGAGTCTTAAATAATTTTAAAATCCTTGGTTTTAGTGGAGTTTAGGTAAGTTCACCATGAACCTCTCTGTCAAGTGATAGAACACTTTGCAAATACCTAACACAAAATACTGTGTCTTCTTCCAGTGGACGACCAAGCATCTCATGCTTTCTTAGTAAAATACGTAGCTTGACATCCTGACAGTGATGTCACAGGGAAATTCATCACGAAAGTTTGACAAAAAGGCACTACTTAATGTGTTCTGAAAAATTTTAAAGGAATCAAGGGAAGTGGAGTGAACCAGAGGAATAAAGACTGATGAACTACTGTTGGAAGGAATAAAAGGAACCATGTACTCCAGGCCAGCTCAACTAAAATTTGGCACTTGTGAGACTTGCTCTGAAAGATGTAAAGAAACCAGCCTCCTGATCTTGAAACACACAGTGCATCAGCAGAGAGTCGTATCAGTGTAATCCGATGTACTGCATGGCTGTTAGACCAGTGCACAGAGAGATGGAGAAACTGGTTAGAGCAGAGCAAGACTATACACAGATTTAATGCAGAAGGGCAATAAAAAATTAAGATGGATATCAGAAAAAGTTCATTCTAAGAGTATGCAAAAATACACCATGATTCCTGTGAATATGAGTGTCCAGGGCAACATTTTTGCATGTGATACCTTTGGTCCCAATTCAGGCAAAACCATCCATTGACACTTAAGTTCCATTGATTTCGGCAGAGCTTAAGTGCTTTCCTGAATTGAGGCTAATTAAGTGCATCACATACAAATACTTGTGTGCATAAATTGTTTACAGGATTGGGGCTTTAGGGCTTGTCTAAACAGAGACACTCAGGAAAATTAATCCAAATTAACTAAAGGTATGAATTTAAAGTGGATTAGTTAAACCACATTAAACCCCAGTCCACACTGGGGTTTAATGTGGTTTAACTAATCCACTTTAAATTCACTGTTTTAATTACTTTGGATTAACTTTCCTGAGTGTCCCTGTTTAAGCAAACCCTTGGTGTATTGAAAAAAGTCCCCAAATGAGTCAAAATTAAAGTATACCCCAAACTAAGTAAATAACAATTCTGCATTGGCAAGGGATGAAATCTTTAATTTTTACAATTCCCATGACTGTGTACCACCAATGTGCCGAGGAACAGCAGCAATGAGATCAAATATCAGTCGGTGAACAGGACAATAGAACTAAG